GAAACAAATGCTCTGGCAAAGATACAATAATAAAGAGAAATAAATAAAATAGGAAATATTCTAGAGCAACAATAGCATTAAAAGTACAGTGCTATACAATAACAAGGATAGTAATACAAGAATTATTCTAGAATAAGTAACATTTCAAGAGTAAATGCTAGTAAAAATCGGGCAAGGGGTAGTAATTATCTTGGGCAAAATCAAGTGTAACAATACACACATCTTTATTAACAACATTTTCTTACTTATTTATATATTTTTTCTTTATCGTATAAAATAGATTAAGTTAACTATACTAGTTACAAAATGATGATTTTAAGCCCTATTACATAATGATGAGCAATCTCACAATATTATTGTCATTGCTCACAGTCATTATATTGACTAGTCATGACAGGATCGGATCTCGTATCATTTAACATAGATCAATTACATGTTGGCGTAGTATTATTATTCATTGTAGGGCACGTATGATTCTTTATTATTGTTGTTCACTTTCATCATATTAATTACATGTCTATGGTTCTATTATCATGACACTTGCTAATGTTGGACAAATATTTATTATTGGTTATTTTATTTTACCCCTTACATTTTTCCCTCGTGCTTATCTTATGTGTACCATGCATTAAGATTCAAGTAATTGGGCGTGTCTTTTGTAATACTTCTTTAGGATGTGAGCATTGATTAGAGTGGCAAGTAATTTCACATTTATTGTTTATAGTTGATACACATCTCTGGATAAATGATTGTGAATATAAAATGGTCCATGTCATTTAGAATCAAACTTGTTACTTCTCGAATATTCAAGAGCTGCTCGGTATAGTAATACCTTATCTCCTATATCAAATTCTTGGGGTTTTCTGAGTCATTTATTGTAGTAAGCTTTCTGTTGGTCTTGTACCTTTTGTATATTATGTACTGCCATATTTCATGTTTAGGGTGGGTAGGTGATCCACAAGCTTGAAAATCTTTTGGAGAATCGTTCCTTCCAATATAGTATCAGAGATGCTTGGATGTAATAGTAATCGCATTTCTTGTCCATATACTAAGTAGAATAGTGACATCTTCTTAGTTGAGTTCTTTGCCATATGGTATGCGAATAGAACTGAGGGTATATATAGATCCCAATTAGTTGTACATTCGACTACTTTAGCTATAGATTCGCATAGAGTCCGATTAAAACGTTCTGTTAGACCATTTGTCTGAGGGTAATAAGGGATCATTAGTTGGTGTTTCGTCTTGATCTTTTCCATTAATTCACTTATCATATGATTCTGGAAGTGAGTGCCCCTATCCGAAATGAGATATTGTAGACAACCGTATCTACAAATGATTTCATTATATATAAATTCAGCAGTGATAACCACATCGGCTTTCTTTATGGCCTTCACCTCTGGCCACTTTATTAGGTAATTAATAGCAATGATTATGTAACGGTTATATCTCAGGGTTTGAGGTGAAGAGCCAACAAAGTCTATATCAATTTGATGAAACAGGGTAGAGACTGGAATGGGGTACAAAGGATCTACTAAACGTTTCTTTTCCTGTTATTAGCATTTGTCATAGCAATTCACATATTCCCTGATGTCCACATATATCTGGGGTCAATAGTAAGCATTGTAAATCTTCTCAAACATCTTGTCTTTTCCAAGGTGAGCTCATATCGAGTGTTGATGTGCCAGGTATAGTATTGGCTTTACTTCATGTTTTTGTATTACGTGTATTTTATAGTTCATTTTTCTCTTGTCGTTCTTATATAGCATTCCGTCTTTGTACTTATAAAATTTACTTTTCTTTTGTTAAAAATTAACAAATTAATTCGAAACAAATCAATCCAATACAGATATATCAATCCTAAATCCAAACCAAGATTCGATGACACTCTTCAATGGTTCAACTCACCACTCCACTTTTCAGAAAGCCCACTAATCAATAACCTACAACTAGGCAGCAATGTCAGATAGTACAAAAAAATTCTGAGCATCATCAAAATCTACATAATTTGTAAAAAATATCCTGATCCATATTGTTTCCAGTGTAGCCTATGCACTGAGGATATCCAACATGTCTTCAAATGTCCATCAGCATTGGAAGATATTAACCAACTTATTATTATCATCAACAACATTTTCCACCCTGATGGCAATTACAAACCTATCTCATATGCCTGGCAATTAGTAGTGCTAGCTTGTGGCATCACAGATAATATCTTCTCCACAACTAATTTTTCCAACTGGATCGAAACTTCAACTGAAACCTAAGCTCATTTATACAAGTTAATTTGGATATCTTGCTGCACTACAGCAAATACTTCTCCTCTTACCGGCATTAAATGGGATAACAACCGTCACAGTAATCCAATAAAACAAATAACCAAAAACTCAGTCAAGACCAAAACACCCAATAGCAATTCCACATCAATATCAACTACTATAAACATACCTACCATTGTAGTGACTTATACATTCAAAGTGGATTCAACTTTACCAAATGCATTTCCAAATTAATTTCAGATTTCTCTAATCTTCTTTCACCCAATGCTGAGTAAGTAATTATAGCTGCTTAGAGCCACTTGATGAGATATATTGTTTTAAAAATTTCTTTTCAATATTAGTTTAGTGGTTACTGTAGGCAAGCTAGC